CTTAGTAGTAGTTCTCACAGGTCCTTGGAGTGATGGCTATTTCAATCAATACAATTTCTATAATTTGGCAATGCTTTTTTTTTTTCTTTAAAAATAATCTAGTTATTTGAAAGACTAAAGGTTGAAATGTAAGATTGTAAAGAATTTTAAGGCCTGACACGGTAGCCTAGTGAATAAAGTCCTCATCTTGAACATCCTGGGATCCCATATGGACACTGGTTTGCATCCTAGCTACTGTACTTCCCATCCAGCTCACTGCCTGTGGCCTGATAAAGCAGTCAAGGGTCGCTCAAAGTTTTAGGATGCTGCACCCAAGAGGAGACCCGAGAGAAGCTCCTGGCTCCAGATCAGCTCAGTAATAGCTATTGCAGGGAGCTGAGGAGTGAACCAGTGGGTGGAAGATGTTTCTCTGTCTCTCCTTCTCTCTGTAAATCTGACTTTCTGGTAAAGAAAGATAAATAAATCTAAAAAAAAAAAAAAAACAGACCAAAAAAGGCTAAGTCACAAAAAGAGAAAGAGGCTGTCCATCTACTGATTCACTCCCCAAATGGCCACAGCAAGGAGATCTGGGAGAGGCCAAACGCAAGAGTGAAGCATTGTATTCAGGTCTCCCCCATGGGTAACATGTGCCTGAGTATTTGGATCACCCTCTACTGCCTTCCCATACATTTTAGCAGAAATGCTAGATTGGAAATGAAAGAGGTCTCAAATTGGAGCCATGATACAGGATGCTGAGTCACAGGCAGTGTCTTAGCTGGCAATACGTTGCCAGTTCCAGGGCAGTAGAGAACAGGCCTTCCTGTTCAGAAGGTATTCCCAGATGACTTCAGATCTTTGAAAAATTTTTCTCAAGGTTGTTTTTTTCTTTAAATCTTTTAAAACTTTTTTATTGGAAAGGCAAATTTACACAGATAGAGAGTGGGGAAAGAGAGAGGAAAAGAAGGGAGGAAGGGAGAGGAGGAGGGAGAAATAGCGAGCGAGAGAAAGACAGAGAGAGATATCCTTCATCTGCTGGATCACTCCCCATGTGACTGCAATGGTCGAAACTGAGCTGGTCCAAGGTCAGGAGCCAGGAGCCTCTTCGGGGTCTCCTACCTGGGTGCAGGATCCCAAGGCTTTGGCTATCTTCTACAGCTTTCCCAGGCCATTAGTGGGGAGCTAGAAAGAAAGTGGAGCAGCAAAGATATGACCCGGAGCCCAAGTGGGATCCCAGCACTTGCAAGGATGAACCAACAAACCAGATTCTCAAGGTTTCCTAAGCTAAAAATACTTGGGCTCGGTGCTTTTGCCCTTGTTGGGCAGCTCAGCTGAGTTCATGACTCTCATAGACACAAGGTCTGGTGCTCTGACAAACTGCTTAAGTGAGGAGTGATGTACATGGCAACAGTCACCTGTGGGACCATGTCTCAGGATTTTCACAGGATTCATTTCTACTAAATAAATCAGTTTCTTTCAGCCAGCACTAGTCTAATAGTTAACCAGCAATGACCAAAGTTAATTCTTCAAGATCAGGTTTAGAACACAATAACAGGACTATGTTGAGCAACATTGTAAACTGCTTTGTTTTACAACAGTCATTTAAAAATCCCATTCTACTGTTCTGAAAACCACATATTCTAGAGTAAATCTCTAAAAGTCAACTATGATGAAGGCCCATGAGTGGTGATGGTGGGCTTTATTTCTATTTTGCGCCCAGCATCTAGCAGAACGTGAGGCCACCTTGACTCTGTGCATCTTGCATGCTCACAAATAATCATATCATCTCTCTCCCTCTTTTGTGATTAGATTACAGGTGATTACAAGGGGGCCCTAGGAGTTTCTTTTTTTTTTCCTAGGAGTTTCTTGAGTGATTCTGTGCTGTAGTCTGCAATTCCAACTCTATGATTATGATGATTATGTGATTGCATTTGTCAAATCTCACACTTGAGGTAAATTCCCCAGAGTATATATTCATCCTTCAATAAACTTGAAAGCAGGAAAAGAAAAAAAAAAAAAAAACACCAAAGCAAACATACACACTTGGGCTCATTGCTGTCCAAACCCTAGCTTAATATCAACCAGAACTGTTGTCTTTAAGATTTCTAAACTTGTCCCAGCTTTCCAGAGGATGAAGATGTTTGTACTGAATTACAGTTACGTATGCAAGGAATTTTTATTGAAATTTAAATAATCATTATTTCAAATCATATGAATACCAAACTCACAATGTATTCCATAAATATTTGCTAAGTCATAGCACAGACTCTAAGGCTCAAGTAGAACTGGGGTCACCAAGATGGCTTCAAAGAAAGTGGGACTTCAGTGGATAAGAGGAAGGAAAAAATGTGAATACATGAAAGTCTTGCAGGAAGAAAACAAGGTCTCTGTGTTGTTTCTCTCAGTTCAGTTTTGATTTTGTGATCCCGAGCAATATACTGTCACCCCGTCCGCCACCAACAAATCCACAAATACTGAGGGTCAGCCATAAATTAGGAATTGTGTCACTTAAATTATGGAAAAGATTTTCAAATTGAAGAAATTGGGCAGAGGTGGGAGCTGGCCTAGCGGTTAAGGCCTTCAGCGGTGTATTGGGATGACGGGGTTGGATGCTTGCCTCTGGTTCGTGGCTCCAGCACACACTAATGCACACGGTGAGGAGGCAGCTGTGATGGTGCAGTACACAATGGACACCTGTGTTGAGTTTGTGACTACAGCATTCAGCACGGCCTACCGCTAGCTCCAACTTCAGCTGTTGCCAGCATTTGGGAAGCAAACCAGCAAACACACACACACATACATAAGAAAGATGGGAAAAGTTAAACAAAAGGCAGCTCAAAACTAAAACTAACCCAGACCTCAAATGACAATGATTTTATAGAATAAAAACTGTACTCTAATATAATTTTTTTAAAGTTTGTTTCTGCCACTTTACCATTTCACAGTCAAAAGCAAACTCAGTATGAAATACACATTAAACATACATGTTACTTTTTTTATTATTTTGACAAATACTAAGGTGGGAAATTATTTTAAACTAAAATCAGAATCTTATTCCATGTTTTTCATGTTTAAAAATCATAACTCTTTGGCGATTAAAACTTACTTCAATCGGGCCCGGCGCAGTGGTGCAAGTGGTTAAGGTCCTCGCCTTGCACGCCCGGGATCCCATATGGGCGCCGGTTCTATCCCAGCAACCCCGCTTCCCATCCAGCTCCCTGCCTGTGGCCTGGAAAAGCAGTCGAGGATGGCCCAAAGCTTTGGGACCCTGTACCCGCGTGGGAGACCCAGAAGAGGCTCCTGGCTTCGGATCGGCATAGCATCGGCCGTTGTGCTCACTTGGGGAGTGAATCATCAGATGGAAGATCTTCCTCTCTGTCTCTCCTCTCTGTATATCTGCCTTTCCAATAAAAAAATAATAAAAATAAATCTTTAAAAAAGAAAAACTTACTTCAATCAACAGCTGTGCAAATTAGTCTAAGCTATATTCAACAACTGATTTATAATGGAGCATTGAATTTATAAGTAAAACACATCATGCATGTCAATACTTCCTTATGTCATTTGTATTCTAAACCTAAGTACAGATGGACAGGATATGCTCAAATTATTTGATTGTCTCATGCTATTCCACAAATCTAATGCCTGGTCTACAGTGAGAAATGAAACTTAACAACTTGACATACAGAGGGGCCGTAAATTCTGGAGCTGGAAGGCAAGCCTTCCTCACCAGCATTGCTCTTTCTTTCTTTTTTTTTTTTGAAAGATTTAGGAAGGGTGGCTGTCTGAGATTAGAACCAGCACCCATATGGGATCCCGACGCGTTCAATGTGAGGACTTCAGCCACTAGGCCACTGCGCCAGGTCCTGCTCTGTCTTTTGAGGAACAAACCTGGAAGACATGAAGCTTTTGTCTAAAAGAAAATGAAGAAACCCTGGTTTTCCAGGACCCACCTACCAACAAACTGATTAAATTAATCAGAAGGGCCATGAACACAACTTCTTGAGGTCAGTAATAGCCAACTACTCCCACACCTGTTTACATAAGTTATAAAAAATCTGGTGCTCCCATGAGGGAGGCAGGTGCCTAAGCACTGTTACCAGTGTGCTTCAGCAGGAGGGTGGATCAGAAGCAGAGGTGCCCGAAACTGAAATGGGATACGCCATAATGCCTGCTGCCTCAATACAATTTCCAATGATCATTACAGATGTCTATTGCCACTGCACATTCAACATATTTCACCAAGCATTCCAAAGGATTTAGTTGTCTCTGTTCAATACTAAATCTTATACTGAGACTATAAGGTAAATAAATACAGATTAGAAAACAACAAAAATAATTAATGAATATAAAACCCTGGGCATGGCCTCAAACTACAACTTTTTTCTTTGCTTCTTTCTTTTTTATATTAGAGTGTTAAACTGGGTAGACAAAGTTGTGTAATCTTGAGATTTAAACTGTAATAGAAGGTACAAATGATAAGAATAACAACAAAATAATGATGACATAGAATTACAGTTACTACTAGCACTACTACTGCAAGAGCAGAAAACAACAATCTGAAGCTTACTGTGATCAAAGCACTCTTCTCAGTACTGTCCATGGTTAGCTCATTAATCATTCCTTGCCACAATCCTTTCCAATGAGTAACTAGGTCCATAACAGTGCTCTACATGCAGGTGGAAGTGGCCCTTCAAACCCCACTAAAGCAGTTGGGAAAGTATGTTCTTAGGACTAATATTATTGAAGGTAAAATGACAAAGGAATGTAGATTAGAATGGTGGAAGGCTTCTAAGCAAAGAGAAGTGTACACACGAATGTCAAGAGGTGAGAATGCTCACAGGGATGTATACAGGACTCAAGGCACTTCAGTTCAGGCAAAGAATACGTGAGGTGCCTGTGGCAATCTAAAACCTGCATCTTGGACAAGGGGGTTACCAGAATAAAATAAAGAGCAAATTTTGGTGAAAGCAGTTTCACGAGGGCAGTGAAGAGTTGGTTGGGAACTTGCTGGAGAAGCCCACCTGTCAGCAGCAGCCTGTACTGGGGGATCCTCTGAACGGGCTTGAGCAGGTAATGCTTGAGAGCCAGACTGGCACAGCGCGGGCTCATCTGAAAGGAGAAGGCATCCACAGTAAACAAGAAGAAGACACCCAGGCCTGAGTGCTCAGGAAGCCAGCAGCAACTCTAGAACTGACTCTGCAAAAAGTTCCCTTCAAGTTAAGGCACAGTTGTTAGGCTGAGAGTGATATGACAGCCTGCCCCACTCTCTGCTGTGGGTTGGTTTCTGAAATCACTTGCCCCCTGGGGAAAACTTGTTCACAGTTCTTTGAGGCAGCCAGAGCTGGCATCCTGGAGAAGCTAGAGAGTTCCCTGCTCAGCATCTCCACTCAGAGTCTGCCAGAGCATTTGCAGGTATAAGCCAGCCCCAGTAGTCCCCAGTGAGATAAGGTGGCAGCAATAAAACTACTAGGAATGATCCCCTGGTTAGTACACTCACAATATCAGAGTGATAAAGGAGAAATTGAAGATAATTTGAAAAGCAGCCTTTTTAAGAATCCCTTTTATAAAGAGCCCCAAAGGATGTAGACACCTTTTTTAGGCGAATGCCCTTATAAAAGAAAGCCCCCAAATCACTGCATATTGAAACATTTGATTTTGGAACCATGTTTGATTTGAGCATAAAGATATCTGATTCTGCTTTCAAGTTCTTTTCCTTAGTATATACAAGAGAAATATCTTCCCACTCATGAGAGCTTCAAACCTAGGCTCCAACCCAGCAGTTTACAGTGAAACGAAAGCAAAATGTAAAATTCATCCTGCATCTTAAGGGGCAGTGCTGTATACTTCTTACTGTCAGATGTCTTCAGAGTGTTGTCTCTTTCTGAAGTATACATCTCTGATGTCTGGCATACAGAATGATTATGGAATGAAAATGGCAGTGCACGTTATAGAATATCATTCTTACTCGCATCTTTCCCTGTCTTATGCCCTTTCTTGTTACCAAAGCAACAGGGCTACTAATTGGACACAGACCAAAATCTTGGTGAGTCACCAGTTGCCATAACTACATCAGATTTTGTTTTTAATGATATAAAGACATTGGGGGAGAGGAGAAAGAACCCAAAAATGTGGGGGTGGGGAGGAGAGAGCAACAAATGACTATTGTCTACTGCACAAATGATAAGCCAGCACAGGAATTAATATGTTTAAAAGCAATCTTGGGCCCGGCGCGGTGGCGCAAGTGGTTAAGTCCTCGCCTTGCACGCCCGGGATCCCATATGGGCGCCGGTTCTAATCCCGGCAGCCCCGCTTCCCTTCCAGCTCCCTGCTTGTGGCCTGGGAAAGCAGTCGAGGACGGCCCAAGGCTTTGGGAACCTGCACCCGCGTGGGAGACCTGGAAGAGGCTCCTGGCTTCGGATCGGCATAGTATCGGCCCGTTGCGCTCACTTGGGGAGTGAATCATCGGATGGAAGATCTTCCTCTCTGTCTCTCCTCTCTGTATATCTGCCTTTCCAATGAAAAAATAATAAAAAATAAATCTTTAAAAAGCAATCTTCCCTGTTTAGTTCTGCACAGCTGGAACTCAAAGCAGATAAATAAGCATTAAAATACAATCAACTCAAATGTTACCTCAAAATGGTAGAGTGGACTAAAATGGAAACTGTAATTGAAAAAAAAATGTAAGTTCCGTTTTATCATTGTATCCTTAATCAATTTAGGCTTGTACTCTCATAATTTTGAGCCCAAACACAAAGATCTTAGCTGATCATATTAATTACTATATTAATTCCTATGCTTACGTATATAACTAATTAATTATATATTAATTATACTATAACTTAAAACTTTTTTTTTAAACTTTGACACTAAAAAAAGGGAAACAACTTCAAGTTCCTATCCATCATTATGAGTTAGCTATTAAAAGACTAAAAGAAAAGGTAAATTAAAAAAAGAAGTGAGCACTGAAGTGGGTCCCTGGGGGTAACAGGAAGGAACAAAGACACAAAGTTTCAGTTTTGACAAGACAAAAGATTGACTGAGATTTGATGGCACAATAATGTCAATTTACCTAGAAGAACTGAACAGCACACAAAAAGAGTTGAAATGACTGAGTTCATGGCATGTGTATTTATTAAAAAAGCATCCAATCATATTTTCCATGTCAAAATATTTCAATATGCAACAACAACTGTTCAAAATTAAATCCTGTATACTTTTGAGTTCTTTCAATTAAGTACATTCAATTCCTTCTTTGATATTTAGAAAGAAGTAAATTTTAATATCGTTTGTTTTCTATGACTGAAAATCATTAAAGCTTCAAAAGAGAAAATGAAAGCAAATGCTTAATATTAGATGGCAACAAATAATACCTCAAAATCTCTAACAACAGCAGCGAAACCAGGATTTTTTTTGCACTGCTCATCCAGCAAAGCTATATTCTTATCAAATTCTTTGATGTACGTGGAATACATCTTTAGATATGGTCCCTTCTTTACAAAGATATCAGCTATTCTTTGTTGTTCAGACCTACGGACAAAGAAGAGATACACAAAAATACAGAGTCATTAATTGTCCCAAAACACATCCAATGATGAACAAAGTCCCACATACAAATCATCAGCTCATTTCTATTTTTTTTTTCTCCTGACACATTTTCCAAAATGCTGCTCATCATCAATTTTCCCATCTCGTTTTGCTTGGCCTCTGCCAGATTTTTTTTTGTTGTTGTTGTTGCTGTTAGTAAGAAGAATCACATTTAATCAGTTTCTTTCTTGCAGTTTCAGATGCTCAAGTACAGCTGAAAAAAATCTGAAACAGCTATAGACCCATGACAGACTGATACAAAGAGAACTGCATTTATAAAAAATAAAAGTATTCACACACCTATACACACACATACACACACACTCTCTCTGTCTCTCTCTCTCTCTCAAATTAGACACCCTCCCTCCCCACAAATGAACACTTCCTGGAAATTAAATTGGTTTTGAAAACCCTTCTTCTGCAGTGATGAGAAGAAGGAAAAGGGGAGGAGGGAGGACTGTAGGTGTGCCCAATCCCTGCACCCTCCACCAGAGTCAGGTCCGCCAGATCTTTAGCTGGTCTTCCTGGCTCCATTTTGGCCTCCTCCATCCCATTCTTCAGTGAAGGGAGTCCAATAAAATATCCCAACCTAACAATGTAGGATAACACTATGCTCCTTAACTCGGTGGACAAAGGCTCCAGGGCTTGCCTGATTGGCTACTTTTCTAACACATCTGACACTTCTCTCCCCTTTTGCTCTCCAATCACACTGGCCTACTGTATATTCTTTGGACATACAGACTTCATTCATACTTAGTAGACTTAGAGCAATGTTTTACATGGAGGATTGATTGCTCCTCCTTTTAAAAAGATTTATATTTTTATTATTTTTTTTATTGGAAAGGCAGATAGATATACAGAGAAAAAGATACAGAAAGATTTTCCATCCACTGGTTCACTCTCCAAGTGGCTGCAATGGCCAGAACTGAGCTGATCCGAAGCCAAGAGCAAGGAGCTTTTTCTAGGTCTCCCACACGAGTGTAGGGTCCCAAGGCTTTGGGCTGTCATGTATTGCTTTCCCAGGCCATAAGCAGAGAACTGCATGGGAAGTAGATTCAAGTGGATGAAAGGTGAGGATACAGCCACTAGGCGATGGTACCAGGCCTTGCTCCTCCTTTTCATCCACTTGGCAGTTTAAATGCCTTAACAACCATCCAATATTCACTGGCTACTACAGCATCCTATTTATTGTTAAATATTTATTTACTTCTATTTGAAAAAGCAGATTTACAGAGAAAGAATGAGAGAGATCTACTCCTTCCACTGATTCACTCCCCAAATGGCCAGAATGGCCACAGCTAGACTGGTTCAAAGCCAGGGCGTAGGGGCTTCTTGCAGGTCTCACATATGGGTGCAGGAGCCCAAAGACCTGAGTCATCCTTTACTGCTTTCAGAGGCACATTAGCAGGGAGCTGCACCTGAATTAGAGAAAACAGGACTTGAATGGGATGCTGGAACCACAAGCACACGTTTAATCTCCTACCCCATGGCACTGGCTCCACAGCATACCATCATAAAGTTCCATAGATCCAAAACAGCTTCTGATACTTCATTTATCTGGTCCTTCCTCTACTAAAATGTCAGCTCAGCACCAGTTCTGTGGTGTAGAAACTTAAGACAATACTTATGTCAGCAACTTATATAACATGAATTCAAGTTCCATGCGCTCTGCTTTTGGTGTAACATTCATGCTAACGGCTTAGGAAAGCAGTGGGACAAGGCACAAGTCTAGGGACCACTGCATATGTGTGGGAGACACAGATGGAATTCCATGCTCCTGGCTTTAGTCCGGGCCAACCCTGGCCCCTTCAGCCATCAGGGGAGTGAAGCAGCAGACAAATGACTTCTCACTTTGTAGCTCAGCCTTGCAATAAATAAATAAATAAATAAATAAACCTTTAAAAATACTTTACAATGTCTGCTCCACAACAGCAAGGCCTCATCTGCTTTGTGCGCTGTGATAACCTTTTACACGCTAGAGCAGGGATTAGAGTACATAGTAAAGACGCAAAACTTGGTTGAATGTGAAAATCAATCCTTTCAATATTATTAGAAGTTAATGGGAAAATGTTATTTCTGGAAGCCAGAAAGCCAAAGAATATGTCTTGACTCAAACAGAAAAATATTTTACTAAGGAGAAAATATTTCAGTTAAGGATTAGAAGAATTTTATGTGAATAATCAGTGCAGCTTTCTCCAAACTATAGTCTTACTTGTCCTTTTCATAACTTTAGTCTATTTCTTAGGCATGTTTAATATTTTAATAGTGAATAGCCATACAGCTAAATTTAAGAACTCTCATTCATATCTTACTTCCATAAATAAACATATTTTGATGAGATCAGGCGCATTCAGGGTAGTATGGCCATAGACCATAAATAAACATATTTTGAAAGCAATTAAGATTAATTTTAAGATAATTTATTAAAAACAACAAACTGTAGAAATTTTAAATAACTTTTATCATGACGTTTAAAAAACATTATTTTTTACTTTTTTAAAGACTTACTCTTGGAGGCCCAGTCTGATGCCTCAATGGCTAAATTCTCCCCCTGCAAGTGCCAAGATTTCATATGGGCACTGATTCATTTTCTGGCAGCTCCAGTTCCTATCCAGTTCCCGGCTTGTGGCCTGGGAAAACAGTCGAGGAGGGCCCAATCCAATGCCTTGGGACCCTGTACCCATGTGGGAGACCCAGAAGCTACCCCTGGCTTCAGATGGGTTCAGCTCCGGCTGTTGCAATCATTTGGGTAGTGAACCAGTAGATAGAATATCTTTGTCTCTCCTTCTCTCTAAAAATCTGATCTGGCTTTCCAATTAAAACAAACAAGGCTTTAAATTTATTTTTATTGGAAAGGCAGATCTATAGAGAGGAGACAGAGAAAGATGCTCCATCCATATACTCTACCTCCCAGACATATATTAGCAGGAAACTGTAATTGAGAGCAGTTAGGTTTGAACCCAGACACCCTTAGGTGTAATGCTGGGATGTTAACCTGAGTTTTCACTTGTAGAATAAATGACAGCCTCCACTCCCACCCCTGTATCAGTTTAAATACGGAAGCAGACCAAATTTATTTGTAAGCAACAGTTCACATTCCCATGTGTGGAACTTCATTTACTCCCATGAAGTCTATTGTCATTTTCCTTATGTGTTTGGGACATCCCAATTATGGTTATGGTTCCCATTTCTGACAGTCTCTTGATGGTTGGGGTTCCAAGATCAGCAGTTCAGTTCGAGAAATATCCAAAGAAACTTCATCTGAGTTGATCCCAGATCTGATTCTTGAGTGAGTTTGCTAGTACAGACTCCAACACTGTTCGTCACACCAATCAGCTTATGCATATGCTGGTCGTTGCGATTGCTGGGTCCGTTCGGCTTCCAGCCCTGTCTTCCTTGTGAACCAATGGGTGTTGTAGTCCAGCTCGATTCTACCCACTTCATACTCGGTCTTCATGCAAACCAGTTGGAGCTACAGCCTAGTTGGGGTGACTCCCCAAAACCCCTACCAGTTCTGCCCCCTACCCTGGTTCCCATGCTTGCCAGTATGCACTGCAGGCTTGTCCAGTCTGTCCCACATCCCAATTAGCTCTCGCACAAGTCAATGGACATTGAAGCCTGGTTCAACCCAACCAACCTATTATCCAGCCCATACACCCACTGGCAGGTGCCTTTCTGTCAAGCCACCCCTGCTCCTAGCCTGGGTTTCATGCTGTCCAGTGAGGGTGGTAACCCTGAGGGAGGTGCCCACTATTTCCCTACTAGGTCACACCCACTCCCAGAGTATGCCGTCTCCAGGTAGTTTTGGCATTTGACTTGTCAGAATTGGCTCCTAGTACCAGCCTCTGCCAGTTAACGCTGTGGCTAAGCCCAAACACCCCTCAACCCACTCTTAATTTTAACTTGCACCAGTCAGAACAGTCAGCTCACCGTGAGGCCCACAGGTGCTATAGCCCTGCCTAGTCTGAACTGCCCCCATCCGTATTCACACTTTCCAATGGAAGTAGTTATCCAGCAGGGGTGCCCACGTTCCCCTGTTGGCTTTGCCTCCTCCCTGATTGTCACATGTGCTGTTTGTGTGCTGCAGCCACATCTGGTACGGCTCATCTCACCTTGGCATTACTTGTTGTGTACTGGTATGTGTTGCAACCGAACCTGGCTCGGCCCACACTCTGTTCTGGTGCTCGGATTCACCAGAAGGTAATGTGAACAGATTCAGGCTGGTCTGCCCCCAACCCATGCCATGTGTATGCCAGTGGGATAATTTTCATTGCCTGTTCTGGGTTGTTCCCTATTGTGCTTCTTGCGCTTACCTGCATGGGACTGTGTCCTGCCAGAGAAGTTGCCCAGGCTCCTCCACCAGAACCTCTCCCAATGCCAGTTTTCGCGCATACCAGTGGGTCCATGAGCCAGCACTACTCAGTTCGCCTGCTATCCTAGGAGGAACAGTGGCTTTTCCTGCCTGGCCTCCGACCCAAGCTGGTTCTTGTTGTTGGATATTTCAACCCATCCATGGCTCTTCCATACCCCTACCCAGCTCACACATGGTTCAGTAAGGGCTGAGACCTAACCTAGTCTGTCACACAACCCTCCCCGGTCCTCCAGAGCACCAGATGGTGTTGGAATTTGGCCTGGCTTGGTGCTTCCCATCCCAGTCCACAATTGTGCCAAGTGAGATTACGATCGTATCCTGATCAGAATGTAGCCTCAGTTCCAGCCCATGCGCTCCTTGGTGGGAAACTCAACCCAGCTAGGGTGTCCCGTTATTTCCCCAACCGGGCCTCTGCCCTGCCATAGAGCAGGTGTAGGCCGGTGGTTGTTCTGTCTCCGCTTGGCAGAGCCCCTCACTTGTCCTGGCCCCTTGGATGCTGTGGCTTAGTGCCTCTGCCTCACACAGATCAGTATGTGCAAGGACCTACCTGGCATGAGCTGTGCTCCAACCT